CAGCAGGAGCAGTCAGTCCTCAGCCCCGAGGCAGGAACCTCACTCTGCTCCTTTGGCAGATGAGCACGTCAAGGCCTGCTCTCTTTTTTTTTTTTAATCCATGTACCTAAGCCATTTTTTAAAAATTGGGTAAGGTATTACATATGTGTCCATATCCCCCATTGCCCCCCCCCCCCCCCTCTACTTCTATACATGCCCTCACCCCCTGCTGTCTCTGTCCATTGGTTAGGCTTACATGCATGCAGACAAGCCTTTTGGTTGATCTCTCCCCCTTACCCCCACCCTCTCCTGCCTTCACTCTGAGGTTTGAGCATTTGTATGGAGTTACCTCAAAACAACTAAAAATGGATCTCACATTTGACCCAGTAATTCCACTTCTAGGAATATATCCCAAGGAAGCAAAAACACCAATCAGAAAGGATATATGCACCCCTATGTTCATAGTAGCACAATTCACCATAGCTGAGATTGGGAAACAGCCTAAGTGCCCATCAGCCGATGAGTGGGCTAGAAAGCGGTGGTCCATCTACACAATGGAATACTACGCGGCTGTAAAAAAGAAGGAACTTCTACCATTTGCAGCAGCATGGATGGGGCTGGAGAGCATTATGCTAAGTGAGTCAGTCAGAGAAAGATAAATATCACATGATCTCACTCATTTGCGAACTATCATAAACAACATCACCTGATGAACAAAAACAGATTCAGAGACAAGGCCTGCTCCTGATCTCTACGCGATGCTGGCTCTGGCTGAGCATCAGAGTCATCTGGGGAGCTGGTGAAACTGAAATATGCTGGGCCTGCCCAGACTGACTGACTCAGAGCTTCCTGGGGTGGGGTCCAGGTGTCTGCAGCTCACAGGCTGCCTTCAGCCTCTCTCAGAGAGAACTCCCAAGTCTCTCCACCCCCGTAGCCCTGACCTCTGGGCTGGCAGCCATTGACCTTGGACAGGCTTCATTTATTCAGTTTCCTATGGTCTGAGGCATGTGAGGGAGTGATTATCCTCGGGGGGGTTTGGAGTTCCCTTAAAGCTCAGTGCAGGGATGGGGGCTGCTGCCATGCCCACGGTTCTGTAGTTTCCGGCCTTCAGGAGTAGATGCAGATACAGGGGCTTTGAGGACCCATACAAGCACCGAGCAATGACTGCAGGAAGACTGAGCGGCCACTCTCCCCTGCTCCTCCTCCATAGCCTATAGTCTTTACAGGGATCTAGGTGCTAAGCTATTATTTTAAAATATGCAGATCGTTTTAAAAGTAACTGAATGTGGTTTTCTCAGTCAGCAGGTACTAAAGGTTAGCTGCTATCATGAGGGAGGAGCACTGGAACTTTAAAAGATGAGAGCTGGGAGCCTGTGAGGGCAGGAGGGGGCGAAGGGGTGGGTGTGGGCATCCAAGGGAATAGAGGCTCCCTCCGAAGAGGGAAGGAGAGCCTGCCTCAAGGCTCCATGTCATCCACTTGATGCACTTGGTTAACATTTGTTTTCGTAGGTTGCTAGCTGGATAGCTCAGTTATCTCAGTTCAACCCGAGGACTGCATAGATGAGAAACTGGAGGTCCAGAGATGGCGGTGATTTGCAAGGACACCCAGCTGGTGAGGAATACAGATATAAACCTACGTGACTTTGCATCAAGTGGTTTACCAACTGACCTCGCCCCCAGCCTTTTCTTCTCCCCCTCCTCCCGCTCCCAGCACGAGGAGACCAGCAGCTGGTAGGGGTCAAGGCAAAACTGATGACCTCAGCCAGCAGATTCCTGGAGTTGTTCTTACCTTCTCCTCCACCAAGAAGGTATTGTCTCTCCCCAGAGGAGGCAAGCAACGCTCCCTGGGCTCTAGGACTACCCTGAGTGCTGGTTGGAGGCTCGAGCACCTCCCCAGCTAAGTAGGAAAGGCCCACTCCACCCTCCCCGCCTTCCCTGGCTCCTGTCAGCCAAGGGGAAGAGGTAGGCCGGCTCCCTCCTAAGATCCTCATCCAGCCAGAGACATGATGTTCCACCCACACCCCCAGCCCTAGGCCCCGGGCCTGGCAGTCCGGGTCACATTCTCAATGGGTTCCCCATTAGGCCTAAAACCAAAGCTGCTCCCCTAGGGAAAAGGGTGTGGCCATCAGGAAGTCCAGCCTTCCCAAGGGACCCTCCCCACAGCCCTGTCAGGGATACCTGCTCCTAAAGTTCTTTAGGAAGGGGGCTCCAAGGACCCTCCAAACACTCAGTCCTCAACTCCTGAGAAATTCTGTGCTCAACCCCAATCCAGAAATGTCATTCCTATTGCTATATATATATATATATATATATATATATATATTAACTGACTTCAGAGAGGAAGGAAGAGGGAGAGAAAGATAGAAACATCAATGATGAGAGAGAATCACTGATAGATTGTCTTCTGCATGCCTCACACTGGGGATAGAACCCACAACCAGGCATATGCTGGGAATTGAGCTGTGACCTTCTGATATAAAGGTCAACGCCCAACCACCAAGCCACGCAGGCCCTATTGCTCTATTTTCCGTGTTCTCAATCCAATTGGGCAAAGAGCACTGTACTTCCTAAAAGAATTCAAAGAGAGGAAAAAGCATCTGATCTCGCCCCCAGCCTTCTCTTCTCCAGAGAAAACACTCCTGACCCAGTGGGCTACTGCTCAGAGGACCTGCCGTTCTTCCTCCTCCCTCTGGCCTCCTCATGGCTTTGCTGAGGACAGTCGATGGCAGCCCTTCCACCACCACATCAGAGCAGAAGTGGTGACTTCATGGATACATGTCTGGCTGGTTGTTTTCCCGCTTGGTTCCAACCACGGACTCCCAGCCCGGGGCAGTTTTAGTGAGGAGATGCTACGCCCAACCTTATGCTTCTCCCCCAGTACTTTTTCAGGGGAGAGGGTGGGTATCTCTCTCTCGTCTGCTTCTTCCCCTGCCTTCTGACCACTTCTCTATTGCTCTCTTGCCTTTCCGGCATCCCCACCCCCAGCACTATCACTACTTCCTCCCCTTCCAGGGTCCACCTCAGATGACACGGGCTCTAGATTCATGCCCCATTCACCACCTGCGGGAGGCTCACAGCCGGCTCAGATGCCCAGTGAGCCAGCTCTCCATCGTGGAGGGAGAAGTCCACCACTGACCTCGTGTGACCAACGAGGCTGCTGTGGGCTGTCTGAGTTGTGGAGACAGCAAATAGGTCAAGAATGCGAGCTCCCCATGGAATCGTCCCCGCAAATACTCCACCTGCGGGCCGGGGAGCAGCCACTGGCCCCGTTAGAGGATGACAGAGGCTCAAGAAGAGATGGGTTTTGGATGATCTGCATGTCTTCTGTCTAAACGGAAGACCCCACCAGATGACGTGAGCGGCAATAAATGAACTGAAGTAGACTATAGGGAAGGACCCGCCAGTAGCGCTGTTTTCCCAGGCGATCCAAGGCGATAGTGGACTCTCCTTCCCAGGAGAGTCAAGAATCATTTATTGGGTGCTCACAGGTGGCTGAGGGATGGGTTACAGAACAGGACCAGGTTGGAAAAGCCAGTGACATTGCCTCCAAGACCAGCAGGGTAGGCAGTTGGAATGAGGATGGGGATAACCCCTACTCGGTTCCATTCATCTCCGGGTTCTAGGCACCTCCTACCTTGGTCATTAAGAATGGAGATTTCCTTGAGATTGCACCCCTATTTGGGGGTGCCCAGAGGAGATACCAGGAATCTAGGACCTTAGCCTAATGCCAGGTATATGGTTGGCGATCAATAAATATTTGCCGAGAGAATGAATGAGCCCCTTAGGCAGTCCGGAGAGCTGAGGCCTACCCTGCTCCCGACTCCCACTGTTCCCTGGTTCTAATAGTTTAGGGCAGCAATTTTCAACCCTTTGCATCTTGTGGCACACATGGAGTAATTACTAAAATTCTGTGGCACACCAAAAAATAGATTTTCTGCCAAACTGACAAAAAAAACACACCAAAGTATATATTTTTAAAATCTTCACTCAAGGAGTGAGGATATTTTTTCCATTGATTTTTAGAGAGTGAAAGGGAGGCTGCCCCCTGCTTGCACCCCAAATGAGACTGAACCTGCAACCGAGGTACCTGCCTTTGCTAGGAATTTAACCCAAGACTCACCAGTCCATGGGCCAACACTCATCACGGAGCAAACTGGCCAGGGCAGGGCAGGGCAGGTATAATTTTGATTCATTCATCCTGGGCGGCTACTATTGTGCTGGCTGTTATTTTTTTATTTGGAAATTTAAAAGCAAGGAGGTCAGTGCTCCTGACTGAATAGGCACTGCCTAGGCCCTTGCTTCTTGCCCACTCACTGGGGGTGTGGGGGGAGGCAGCATTCCCACCGGACTGGAGGAAGGAAGGAGAAACGCTTGGGCCCACCAGGCACTGCCTAGGGCCCGTGAACCTTAGGGCTCTCCCTGGGCTCAGATTCCACCCCCTTCCTACCTGAGGTCTCAAAGCTTAAGGCAACAGTTCTCTAACCCGGTGTGGGCAGGGGGAGGGGAATCTGGGCACCAGCATAATGCCCTCCCCAGCCCCGTCCCAGCGTCCCACCGTCCCACCAGGAGGCAGGCTTCCAGGAGCTGTTCTGCCAAAGAGACGGCGCCGCCGGTGTGGACTGGGAAAGGCTCTTTAAGCCTCTCGGCTGCGGAAGTGACTGACAAGCACCAGCTAACTGTCTCTCTTCAAAGGCAGGAGGAAGCAGCAGGAAGGAGCCGGGTACGTGCCCAAGCTTGACGCTAGGGCGATGTGTGCTCATCGCACGGAGTCTGGGACGCCGCCTGGCCCGTGGCCCTCAGAAACCATGATGCCGCCTCCACATCCCGACATTGGAGGGGCAGGTCCTGGGCGATGGCTCTGCCCCTCCCCTGCTCCCTGGACGGGGGGCAGCAGCCACCCAGTACTGGCCCCCTCCATGCCCGGGCCTCTCGATGGCTGGGTGCCCAGGAGTTCGGTGTTCACGCCGGGCTCGGCGGCGGGCCTGGGTGCCTGCCAGCCTCCCGGGCCCCACGTGCCTCACCTTGAGCTGGGACTTGGAGACCTTGCCGCTCTTCTCCACGTCCAGCGCGGTGAACGCGTACCAGATGGACTTCAGCAGCTCCTTTCGCAGGGCCATGGCTGAGGCGCCCGCCCACGGTGGCTCTGACATCGAGATCCGGTTTCAGGAAATGCAAACGGTTGCAGAGACCACAGAGGGGCTGGCGCGGAGCGAGAGCTCCACCTGCCTGCTCGCGGGCTGCCTGTGCTGCCTGGCGGGCCCGCCTGTCGCTCCTGCAGGGCTCTGTGGCTCCTCTCGCCAAGGCAGCGAGGCCCAGGCCCCGGAGCTGGGGCCCAGGTGTGCTCTGCTGGCCCCTGGACTGCCAGAGGCAGCGTGCTGTGGGCAGACACAGGCCCAGCCCGACTTTGGAGGCACATGGGGGTGCGGGGGGTCCCGTCTCATTCCACACTTACCGGATCCTACATAAATTACTTAACCTCCTCGAGCAGCTTCCTCGTTGGTAAAGCAGGAAAAACACCCAGGCCCCGAGCTGTAAGAAGGCCTGAGCGCGGCTGGAAGCAGAGTAGGCGCTGGACAAAGCATTCCTTTAGTGCCATCTACAGCCTGGGGCGGGGGGCCCCTCCCAGGCAGGAGGAGACAAAGGCAGCGGCACAGCCTGGGCTGGCCAGGGCTTCTCCAGGGCAGGCGGACCTGGCACATGACCTGCTGCCGCCCGTCCTCCAGCCTTCCGCCCTGAAGGCACTCCGAGCATTGCCCACCCGGGCCCCTGGCCCTGAAGACCGGGCTGTCTGTGAAGCACACAGGGCTGGGGAGCAGAGGCTTGGGTTCAGGGCCTCACAGCAGTGCTTCCCGTTGTTTGAGATCCAGTGCCCACCCTCCTGCCAGGAACAGGGATCATGGATGTTGAAGGTACCAACGTAGGCATTTGAGAAATCGCCTCGCTAGGCACGGGCCCCCTGCCTCCACGGAGCTGGTGGCCGGGTAAAGGGGACCTTGCTAGGCATCCGTGGAGAGGACACGTGGGCGGGGAAGAGGGTGCCATTCCTGGGTGGTAGGAGATGGTTTGGGGCACCTCCAATCCCTGCAATGTTCCTAGGCAGATTCTTTGCATCAAATCTCTTCTCCTGCACCCCTTCTCTCCCATCAGGGCTGGTTTGGTCCTACCAGTTTTTGGTGGGGTCTGACTGTGGTTTTGGAATTCCAGACATGGCTCCAGACACCTAGGTGGGCACCCTCAGAGCTGGGTATCAGAGCGAGGGCTTCAGCACCAGAGACCCCCAGTAACCCGAGCAAAGGTACCTCTGCCCCCTCCAACGTGGGGCTTTGTCCACCTGGAGCAGCTGACTGGGTCTGGAGCGCCCTAGGTAACAAAGGGTAAGAGATCCACCAGAAGCTGGAAGCAGTGGTCGCACTGGTCCTGCCTGACCACCCTGAAGCCACCGGGTCGGCTGTGGGCAGGAAGCCACTGGCAGCTGCGCAGGGCTTCTCTCCCACCTGTGTCCCTGGTAGGGCAGCCCCACCATCCAGCACAAGGCTCCATGGAGCGTCTGCCAGCGATGCAGAGCTAAGTGCCTGATTTGACCAGCCCCGTCACCAGGACTCAAAGCTGAAAGAAATGGAGGGACCCAGATGGAAACTTGAAACTTTTTATTAAATACTCATTCACCCGTTTGCCACCACTGCTCACAGCAGGAAAAAATTTATCAAAATGCAATTTAGAAAATTAAACCCAATCCCCAGTATGTACAGGCTGTTCCTTGCCTCTCTACCAGAGGCTGAGGGGCAGATGGGGGCGGGGGGATGGTCGGGCACCTTTTCTCCAGCCACAGGCCCCTGAGCAATTCTGACTGCAGCAGCAGGAAGTACCCCGCTGCCAGGTGACCAGGCATCTCGCTGGCCTCTGGGGAGGTGGTTATTGCTGGGAGGGGCGGGGCTGGCACTGTTCTGTTCCTACGGGGCTGAGGCCTCTCTCCTGGTGGACAGCGACCAGTCTGAGTGACCAATCCCCACAGAAGCCCCAACTGCCACCTGAGAAGGGGAGTGGGAGGGCAGGCAGGGTGCTCTCTGGAGGGAGGACAGTGGGTGCCCAGCTGATTGTGAGGGCAGGACGCCCCCGTGCAGCCTGCTGACCACTCTTGTCCTTAGCTCCCGAGGCTGACACTCCCCTGATTCCGGCCGTCCAGCCCCCCTGGGGGCAGGGCTCCCATCATTTCCCTGCTGACTTCTCACCCCGGAGACCTATGGGGCCACCTCCCCGTCAGCCCGCCCGCGCCTGTGGAGGCCGGAGGGCTCTGCGGCACGGTGCTCCTCCGTGTTCGGGACCCAGCCCTCCAGGCTCAGCAGCCGCTCCCTGTCTCCGTGGCCTCCAAGGTCACAGCCCCTTGCTGCATGGCAGCAGTGGCCACGCTGATGGCGTCCTCCAAGGTCTGCTGCTCCTCCAGCTGCGGAGAAAGAAGGGGAGGGTGAGGCCCTCCTCTAGGTTTGAAGGGTGGTGGTATGTGACCCGCTTTTTGGATCCCTCCATCCCAGTGCCACACACTGAGCACTTGGTGGAGCCCTGCTAACAGGAGGCTCACTGGCGAAGAGTTAGGCTAAGTATGGCCAGGGAGCCACAGGGCGGCCCAGGCCAGAGATGGGCTTGCTCACGGAAGGGAACGACTGGCTGGAGAGCCTCCTTCTTTTCCTGGTGCAGAAATAAAGCTCGGGGGAGACGGAGGGCTTAGACCAGGGAGACGGCCACTGAAGTTACCGTGAAGGCTGGGAGGGGCTGCTCCACTTTGTCTCAGTCAAGAAAGGACGGAGACAGGTATGTGCATTTAGGAAGAAAGGGATTTGTCCTCTGAAGTGAACTCCTTTTGAGCCAAATGCCCTTCTCCTCCAGATCTCCATCTAATTCCTCGCCCCCCTGGCTCCTTTCTCTGGCAGCGGGATCCTCCCACATCTCTACCCACCTGCACAGCAATGTGCGTTCCGTTGGCTGTGGCCAACAGCGCCACCTGTTGATGATGAAGGGACGCCACACTTGAGTCATCCGTCACCACAGCCCCAGAGGTAATGATTGTAACCTGAAATACAGATGAAAGAGGTTTTCCAACTCACCTACATTACTCCCCCTTCCCCTAATCCAAACAAACCCCTCCAATAAGATGGCTGGAAAAACCCTGAAGAGAATGGATCAAATCACTGTGGATCAGCTTGGGGGTCAGAGCTAATTGACGCTTGTTTTTCTCTAGATTAATTTAGGGATTTTGAGTAATAGGACAAAGCTGTAAAAGGCCCCAGCGATCATTTAACTCCCTTATTTGAAATGGGGGGGGGGGAACATAAAAAAGGACTTGCCTGTGGTAGCAAACAAATAAGGGGTAGATTTGAGATTTCAAACTGCTTCTCAACAGGGAATGGCTGTGGGAATGCCCTTTTTGTGGGGGAATCCTGGGCCTCATGAGGAAGCTTGGCTAGTTTAGCCTGCACTTAAATGTCCGCCCAGTGGAAAGGAAGGACAAGGGAACAAGAAGCCCCAAGCAAACTGCCTGGTCGTACGGGCTGCGTCTGGGAGCCATCGGCGCGGACCATGGTGACTGTGTGTGTGCCAGACGTGGCAAGGCTGTCGTCAGGACTGGGGATGGTGAGGGTGGTGCTGCTGTGCTGGGTCACCATGCTGATGGCGCTGCCCAGGGCCTGCAGGTCTTCCGGGGATAGGCTGACCTGCCAACAGGAAGGAGGAGGGTGAGCCGGAAGTGCAGAGGTGGGCTGTCTGGAAGCCCCTGGGAGGATACATCCTTCCCTCCCGAGCAAGGTTAACTTATCGGCAATCTAGGAGACCGGCTGCAGTCACAGGTGGTCAGGGCCAAGCAATAAAACAGGTCCTGGGCTTACAGAGGCTACACTGGGCAACTCCGCTGACCGCTTCTATCACCACCACTTTGCCGCAGGGTTCTGTTCCATGCAACTCGGGGTCTCACCTTATGCCTTATGCCAACTCCCACAGGCACAATGCTCTTGGCAGTGAGGGTGCTGACAAGGCTCAGGCTTACTGCTGGCTAGAACGCCATCCCGTGCTCTGGCCTCCACACCAGCGTGTCCTCTTGAGAAGGACATCCAAATGTCTCTTTCAAGTGGCCAGGACCTGGCAGCCTCCTGGTAAGGAGGGCAACTAACTGCCCCAGAAGCCCCGGAGACCCGCCGGAAGCACAAGGAGAGGCTGCCTCCGCTCACTGACAGCCACAGGCCAGAGGAACTGGGTAGAGCTGGGGCTGTCAGAACTCCCAGGCTACCCAGAGAAAGAGGGAGAAGGTACTAGCTAGAGTGCCCCCCATCCCTACCCCCACCCCCAGGCCGGTACCTGCTGGGCACCATCCTGAGTGATCAAAGCCACCTGGGGGGCCCCGTTCTCCTCAGTCACCATAGCCACTTGGGCTGGGATGTCATCACCCTCTTCTTTCACCTCCGAAAGGTAAGCAATGCGAGGCCGTTTGGGTGGTGGGCTCTCCTCGGCTGCAGAGGCGGCTGGGAGAGGAGAGCCCAGCTGACACCTGCCACCGGAGGGCCGACGGGAGGCCTGGCTCGTCCCCACTCTCACCTCCGGCCCATGCCCCTCACCCTCGAGCTGCTGCTGCTCATAGAGGGCCTGCTCGCTCTCCTCGGTGGCCTCCAGCTCGCCATGGGCGCTGCGCTTGTGCATGGCCAGGGTGGAGGTCTGCCGGTAGGTCTTGCCGCAGGTGCTGCAGGTGTAGGGCTTGCAGTGTGTGTGCACCACGTGGTGCTTATACAGGCTCGAGTACTCGGTGAAGCGCTTCCCACAGCCTGGCACCGTGCAAACGTATGGCTTCTCCCCTGGGGACACTGGGCTGTGAGGGGGCGGGAACTGGGGCTGGCAAGGGGAAATCTAAGGGGACAGGGTGGGGGTGGGGCTGGTGAAGGGAGTGCCAGAGAGACGGGGAGGGACTAAGACCTGGAACTCTAAGTGGACGGACTTGGGGAAGATGGCCAGTGGAACAGAGGGGACATGAGTGTGGGACTGCCGGAGACAAGTGGAGAGAAAATGGGGGCTGGGCAAAGCTGGGGCTAATGAAGGGGCTGGAGGGGAGCACTGGGGGCTTGTAAGGCCGAGGGTCGTGCACAGAAGCAGCAGGGGATGGAGAGGATGACTGTCGTGTCAGGTGCAATGCAGAGTGAGGGGACCGGAGGCTGGATGAGGAACGTGACTGGGAGGGCGAGGTTACACCAGAGTCTCGAGGACAGTGGATGAGGAGGGAGCTACAGGGGACATTTCCCTCTGCCGTTCCCCATCATGCCTGACCCTGGCCTTTCACTGGGTGCTCAGCTGGAGGGAGAATTCAGTGGAGAGAGGTGGCAGGGAGCTGGGAGGGCAGGCAGTACCTGTCAGATTGCACAGTGCAAGTGAAACGGTGGTTCCGAGGACATGGCCGGAACCGCAGAACCCCCTCAGCCCGCCCACAGACCAGCCTGGACTGGCCAGAGCCTACAGTTAGGCGGGGCCTCGGAGGGCGTCCTGCATGCCAGCTGGCCCACCTGTGTGGATGCGCACGTGATTCTTGTAGTTGGTGGCGCTGGTGAAGCCACGGCCACAGTGGGGCTCGGGG